TCCCTCTGGGGCATTTGTCTTGGAGAAATGGAAACTTGATGCTCATATGGAGGCAGCCTTATGGATGCTCGCTGCAGCTGTGTTAAAAGAGCCACCTTGCAGACAGTGACTCAAGCAAACGGTGAGGCTAACAGCGGCATTTCTGGACTATGGAAGGCAACCCAGCCATCAAAAGCAAGTGTTGATGATGCTTCAAATGAACTAGATGGATCTCAGAAAGCCAACCCCCAAGGCTTACATCCAGGTGTGTTTGTTGGGGCTACAAAATGACATAGGTCAGGGCCCAGCGTGATAGCCTAGTGGATAAAGCCTTGCAAGTTCCAGGATCCCACATGGGCTCCCAGCTGTTCTACTGCCCATCCAGCTCCCTGATTGTGGCCTGGGAAAGCAGCAAAGGCTGGCCCAAAGCCTTAGGACTCTGCACCAGTGTGGGAGACCTGGAAGAAGCTCCTGGCTCCTGGCTTCAGATAGGTTCAGCTACAATTGCTGCAGCCACTTGGAGGGTGGAGCAGCGGATGGAAGATCTTTGTCTCTCCTTCTCTCTGTAAATCTGACTTTCCAATAAAAATCAATCAATAAATAACTTTTTAAAAAAATGACATAGGTCAGGAAATGGCATAAAGTCCATAACACACATTATATCCATGTTAGTTTTATGGCTAGGCTATTGTATTAGTCATATATAAGGTATACTGTTGGCGGAAACGGGATTAAAAATCCTCAAGCCTATGTTTACCGCCCTTTAACTCTGTAATTATTTCAAAATAAGAAGCTTTTTTTTTTCTGGGAAGAGATGATAGGGTGCATTCACAGCCTTTGATGGGCTGCAGTTGGCTGGAGATATATCTTGTGGTTATTTTGTCTTAAAAGAGAGAGCTGTAGTGTTTCTTAGATACAGACCTGTGATGTTTTTAGGTGGAATTATATCGTATCTTGGATTTTTTTCAAAAGATTTATTTATTTTTATTGCAAAGTCAGATATACAAAGAGGAGGAGAGACAGAGACAAAGATCTTCCGTCCGATGATTCACTCCCCAAGTGGCCACAACGGCCAGTGTTGCACCACTCTGAAGCCAGGAGCCAGGGACTTCCTCCAAGTCTCCCACATAGGTGCAGGGTCCCAAGGCTTTGGGCCTTCGTCAACTGCTTTCCCAGGCCACAAGCAGGGAGCTGGATGGGAAGTGGAGCTGCCAGGATTAGAACCGGTGCCCATATGGGATCCAGGTGCGTTCAGTGTGAGGACTTTAGCTGCTAGGCCACGGTGCCAGGTCCAGATTTTCTTTTAAAATAATATGTTAAGGAGGGGAACCAGAAAAGGAATCAACATTGGCCACTGAATAGCTAAAGTTCCTTAAACTATAATGTTTCTTATTGCACACATTTGAAGCTTGCCACAAAAACACAGTGTTGAGGTGGAAATGGAGAATATTCTAATGGCTTCTGGGGGCTACTTACTGTGGACCAGGTCAGGAGCAGGGTCCTGGGTTCCTGCCCACAAAGCTGGGCTCAGGCCAGTGCCAGCAGACCAGAAGCAGTGTATCCCAGGTGCCTGCCACTGTGAAACAGCTTATGTGTCCACACGTGGCCACAGGCATGGAGCTGTAACTATAACTTTGGCCCCAACAGCGTGGACCCTCGCAGACTCTAGCTTGAAGATGCGTGCGGTGTGCACAACGCTTCAGCCTGCAGGGAATCCTTCCATCCTATGTATCCATCTTCTACCATTTCAGTTCACCTGCATAGTCACCATCCAGCTGCCACTCCATCCATTTGCTTGTTCCTTGACTTATTAACGTGACCAAATATCAGCATCACTGAGGGCCCAGCCCCTGCCTCCTTAGGAGTACACCGTGTGGCTGGGGAGAGAGTCAGTCCAACGCAGGCAGCCAAGGTGCCAAGACAGAGGCAACAAGGTTCATTCCTGGAGCAAAAGAATCTGCAAGACTCCTGCTCTGGAGGGAATGTCGGAGAGGAGCTTCAGAGCTGCTGGCTTCACCTCTGCTCAGCTGCCTGACCATCCAGGGTCTGCTGCCTGTTTTGAGATCAGCTGACAGCAGCCTTAACTTCTCCTTGCTTGCTATGTCTCACAATGTAGCTCTGGGGATTTTCACCTTTGGGAGACCATTTTTCTACCTCGCAGGGGACAGTCCAGATGTAGACCCAGCTCCCTGGAAGCCTGACCTAAGGTAGATAATGTGGATGTCAGGGAATGGACTGCCTTTTCCATAGAAGGTGCTGAGGCCATTGATGACAAGAAACATGGGGTGGAATTCTCATGCCACATACAAAACCATTTCCAAATGGATGACAAAACTTATGTATCAGGGCCTGCACTGTGGCATAGCAGGTTAAGCCAGCACCCCATATGTACTGGCTTGACTCCCAGTTGTCCCACTCTAACCCAGCTCCCTGCTAATGCTGTAGGAAAGCAACCAAGAATGGCCTGTGCCCCTGGGCTCTGGAGTCCACAATGGAGTCCCGGATGAAGCTCTTGGTTGCTGGCCTGGGTCTGGTCCATCCCCAGCCATTGCAGCCATTTCAGGGGCGGGAGTGAACCAGCAGATCAAAGACTTCTCCTCCCCTCTCTGTAATCCGTTCAAATAAAATGTATACATCTTTAAAAAAAAAACACATGTGTGCATAATCTGTGTTAAAATGAAAAATTCTTGTTTGCCGGAAAGCATCTTAAAGAGAATAACAGATCGAGCTAAACACTAGAAGAAGATGGTGGTGACATGCATGAGTGATGAGCTTATCCAGGGCAAAATGTGTATTAGGGGTGGCAGTTCAAAGGGTTCATGGGAAAATGGAACTAAAAGAATTAACTTTGGTGCAAAAAAAAAAAACTCATGCATAATTTTTATAATATACATTTCTCATTTTTTTTCAAATGTCCTTCCTATCATGGACTTCAAAAAATGTTTACACCCAACGCAAATATACTTCTCCTAATCCAATTTTCCACATTAATTTTAAGTCCACTTTCATATACATATTTGTATATGTGCTTCTTAAAAAGATTTTATTTATTTGAAAGCCAGAATCGCAGAGAGAGAAGGTGAGACAGATAAATATCTCTCCTTGCTGGGCTGGCTCAGTCCTGGATGGCTATGATGGCCAGGGCTGGGCCACACTGAAGTTAGAAGGTAGGAATTTCTTTAGATCTTCCACATGAGTACAGGGACCCAAGCACTTGAACCATCCTCTGCTGCATTCCCAGGCCATTCGCAGGGAGCAGGAAGTGAAACAGCAAGACACAAACCAGTGCCTGTAGGGGATTTGCCCGATATGCCCCTTGTATGTCTGTTTTACTTCAACAATAAATGTAAGGTGAGCCATACAGTACAGTAATGGGAAAAAAACTCATAGCCATTTCACTAGATGTAAACAACAAATAAAAACAATATAAGGCGTTCAACCTGTTAGTAACTAGAAATGGGAATGAAGACCACAGAAAGGTACAACCTCATGCCCATTTGCCTGTCTGAGCTTAACGTGTGTGACAACACCAGTGCCAAGCATTGGCTAGCACAGAGCTACGGGAGCATCACACACTGCTGTCGGGAGCCTAAGCTGGTAGAATAGCGTTGGGAAATGAGGGAAATGACTTGGGGGGCTTAAGCCCCAGAGGGGCACACCTCGGGCTCAACATCCCAGTCACACTTCCGGACAGCGGTTATTTTTCCCTGGGACTGTTCATGGGCAGTGACTCACTCAAGGGCCACCTGATGTGCGCAATACACTACACACTGTGGGATTGGAGTATCACTGGGGACATGGAGATTGGGAAACCGATGTGTAGGAGGCTTCTGGTGGGGGCAGTAATGAGCAACATGACCCCCAGAGAGACTGCTGGACACATGTGAGGAGTGGCGGCATCTGACACATCCATCAGTAGCAGCACCACAGGCAGATGTGACGTGTAAGAAGCAGATTGGGTATCGCGAAGAATGAGTCCACTGCTACTGTACTGTCAGTGAGCAGAACCACTCAGGGAAAAGAGTTCCTGAAGGGCTCCATCTTCAAGGGCTCAGCCAGGCAAAACCAGCCGCTGATGTCCTGGTATAGCAAGCTAATGATTTACCCACGGTGCCAGCATCCCATACAGGCACAGGTTCACATCCAGGCTGTTCCACTTCTCATGTAGCTCCCTGCGGGTGGCCTGGGAAGGCAGCCATCGCCCAAGTCCTTGGAGCCCTGTTACCCAGGTGGAAGATTCAGATGAAATTCCTGGCTCCTAACTGCAGCCTGAGCCAGCTCCAGCTGTTGCAGCCATTTTGTGAACCAGCAGAGAGAAAATCCTTTCTCTCTGTATCTCCTTCTCTCTGTGTGACTTTGCCTTTCGAAAGGAAGGAAGGAAGGAAGGAAGGAAAGAAGGAAGGAAGGAAAAGAAAGAAAAGAAAGGAAGGAAGGAAGGAAGAGAGAAAGAAAGAAAAACAGACACAATTGAACAAAAATCAACACCAAGACAAGCACAAGCATAGGAATGATTTAGAGAAAGTGCAGACTAAAGCAGAGAGGAGAGAGGCTGGATTAGCGTTTGCAGAAGGTGGGGTGCTAAGATTCTGGAGTTCTGCTTAAGCAGTATTATAGGAATAACAGCTATTCACTGTATTGCTTGCATTATGTTTCCATGTATGAACCCTCTGTTTTTCCAAATACACTCATCTGCATTTCCCAACACATGTGTAACATTTCCTTCTATGCAGCTGACACCCTGGATGTAGTTTTATTGGCTTCCGTGGGAGCCGATCTCAAGTGTCCAGCTGCGGCTGACCCTCATATTTCCATGTCTCTCCTGAGCCGCTCTGGGCTTGGCAGCAGGTGGCTGGTGGCGGTGGCGTGAGTCAGCAGGTGAACTCCAACTGTGCCACATTTTTTTTTTTTTATCAGGGATGGTGGAGGGGACCTCTCATTGGCCCCTCCCTGAGTTGGCCCCGAGGCTGAGCTTGGCCCACCGCCCTCTGCTCCTTCTCTGCCAGCTGCTGTCTCTCTTTCAGTCATGCCGGATGGAGCCCTGGACACAGTCGTCCGTGCTGAGGAGGCGGGCAGCGAGGAGGACCTGTATGAGGACCTGCACGGGTCCAGCCACCACTACAGTCACCCTGGAGGGGGCGGTGAGCAGCTGGCCATCAATGAGGTAGGGGGACAGCAGTGTGGGCAGAGGAGGGGGCAGGGTGGCACTTGACCACAAGCCTGGCAGGTGTGGGCCTGGCCATCAGGGTGACCCCTGGGTACTGTGCAGGCCAGTGATGCCCAGCTGTGTTCCAGGTAGACCACAGCGATGCCAGCCTACGGCTCTCATAGCAGATTGCAGAGTGTCTGAATAGTAGAATCTCCTATCCCCTCATCTGGCCGACACGTCCCACAAAGCTGGTATAGTTAGAGAAGGCTGAGTGGTGGGCGGGAGCCAGGGCTTGCAGCCCTCCAACAGGTAACCAGGGCAGGCTGGAGGGCAAGGCCAGTGAAAATCAGTTTTCTTCACAGAGCCCAGAGCTCAGAAGGGAGCTGTTGTGATGGCCACCATGAGCCAGTTAGCACTGTTTTTTTGTTTTGTTTTGTTTTGTTTTTGCTGTTCCTACAGAGCAGAATCTTCCAGAATGAGAACCCACTCTGGACAAAACAGGGTCCTAGCTTCTCCCTTGGCTTTCTCCAAAGAGAGAAAAGTGTGGGCTACATACATGACTCTTGCTCTCAGGTCCTATGCTCTCCCCGGCCCCTCTTGCTGCCTTCGGAGGGCTGGGGAAGCATCAAGAGTTTAGCCAAATGTCTAGAGGGAGCACACAGGGCAGCAACATTAGCTCAGCTTGCGATGAAAACCGGAACTTGACAACCCAAGACCTTGGCACACTCAAACCTTTTCAACTGGAGGGGCTCATTCTTTAAGAAGTTGGCCTTTCATGATTGCATGCCTGGGGAGCTTCTCAGAAACCAGTGTGGGCCATCATGCATAGAAACTACACGTGCAAATAAGTCTTTTCAACAAGTAAAACTGCTGACTGCCTCTTACAAACCACAGTGCCTATAAGGGTACTTCAAAAGTTCACAGCAGTGCAGATGAAATAACTGTGCATGGATTTCAAAAATGGCTTGAAGCAAAATAATCTAAAATAAACAAATAAATAAAAGGAGCCAGCTTTGTGGCTCAAGGGGTTAAGCTTCAGCCTGTATTGCTGCCGTTCTATATAAACATGGGCTTGAGTCCCAGCTCTCTGCTAGTGAGGGGTGTGGGAAAACAGTGGAAGGCAGCCTGAGTGGGAGACTTGGATGGAACGTTCTGTGCTTCTGGCTTTGGCCTGACCCAGCAGTCCCAGCCATTGCAGCCATTTGGCATGTGGACCAGTGGGTGAAGACTTTTCTTTCTTTCCCTGTCTCTCTTTTGCAAGTCTACCTTTCAAATATTTTGAAAACAGATATCAGCTTATTACAAATACTTTGTTATTTGAGACTCTGTGTGTGTGATGGGTGGGGGTAAGGTTTGAGGGGTAGGTTTCCAGCCTCTAGCTTACTCACCTGAACAGCCACAGCAGTTGGGGAACTGAAACAAGAAGCTAAGAGTTCAATCCAGATCTCCCATGTCCTGGGGTCTGCGTGATGTAAAGCTGGTGTCAGAAGCCAGAGTCGGAGTCGGTTACTAACTGCGGGGACTTCTGTGCTGGACACAGGTGTCTTCCCTGACCTCCTATCTACTAGGCCAAACAGCCCCAAGTATGTCTTGGAATGTCCTGTTTGCCACAGATTTCTTCAGGTCTCCCTAATCTTTTGGATGGAAGGTGTCCTGGCATCATGTTGTTATATGCAGGATTCACAGCCAATGGCTGTACTTTTCCATCAAATTCAGCCTTCGCCCTCCGTCTTGGGAGGAAGGGGCCTGGCCAGAGGAGGGGTGATGTGGAGGTTGGAGCAGATGGCTATCAAAGCACTGCCTCACTGTGACTGTATTCCCATGATGAGCATGGAGATTGCTGTATTCCCATGATGAGCATGGGAGGGTCTCTGAAGAGGGGGTGGTTACCTGCCCTGCTGTTGCTGCTCCATTGTGAAAGTTGTGATGTCAGATGGATAGACGCTACATCTGCTATCTGGTGATGATGTTATAGGATGGTCCCATCTTGCCGCTGGCAAGGAGGTGCCTTTTGGGGTCTTGGGCTCCTTGACAACTTTTTTCTTTCTTTGCTTTTCAAAGATTTATTTATTTTCATTGGAAAGGCAGATTTATAGAAAGAAAGACAGATATTTTCCATCTGATGGTTTATTCCTCAAATAACCACAATGGCTAGAGCTGAACCAGTCCAAAACCAGGAGTCAGGAGCTTCTTCTGGGTCAACCACATGGGTGCAGGGTCCCAAGGCTTTGGGTCATCCTTGACTGCTTTCCCAGGCCACAAGCAGGGAGCTGGATGGGAAGTGGAGCAGCCAGGACATAAACTGTCACCCATATGATATTGTAGCACTTGAAAGTGGAGGATTAGCCAGTTGAGCCAACATGCTAGTCCTGACAATGTTTTTCGTTCTAAGATGCTTTAGCTAAGGCAAGAAAACCAAGAGCCAAGACCGGTGGAGTGGAGCCAACAGGTCCTGGCAGTAGGAATTACAGATAGAAAGAAAATGGATCACAGACTCTGTAAGTGTCTGATGATGAGTCCCTCGGGAAATTTATGTCCTGTTTGGTTTAGAAGTCAGCCCCAGAGCTCTTGTCCTCATGGGACCCTTGACAGGAAATGCACAACCAATGTCTGAGTCCCGTGCTGCAGGACGTGCCATATCTCAGTGGGGACAGTGAGGAGGACTGAGAGCACCCCTTCCCAGTGCCACAGGGACTGCCTAGGACCATGGCCAGCTCCTGAGGCTGGTGGCATCCACCCTCACACTGCCCTTGGCTTTGCTAGATCATGATACAGCCGGCCAAGAAACACACTTCGTACCAGAAGCTCATCAAAGCCACAGATGTCAGAGTAGAGTCCCTGTACTCAAGGCTATCCGGCTTGCTTTAAAACTGCACGTTCACTTGTGTTCTCTAATAGGCAAGTCCATTTGTTCCAAAGTGGCTGGGTCCTAGACCATGCTGATTTTAGAAGGGGAAACCACATCTTGATTCCCTGTGCAGAAGGGGGGCCAGACCATCTGACTTGGGACCACAACAAACACAGGAACCAGAGAGGCAACTGGTATTCTGGGTGCCTGAGCAGTGAGTTTTACACACACACACACACACACACACACACACTCTCTCTCTCTCTCTCTCTCGTGATGAATGTGTGCTGTTTTTGTGTTACACAAACACCACACAAGTTACTGAGCACCTGCCATGTGCTGGGTGGGTTAGTGACCCCAGGAGACAGTAAGCTGTGCAGGCAGGTGGGAATGCCCACATGTGTCTGTGAACACTTTCCCATGTGTGCTCTGAGAGCCAGAAGGGTCTCTCTTTTTTTTTTTTTTTTTTTTTTTACTCCCTGCACAGTCTTATGCCTAGCTTCCTTGATTGTCCAGGCCCCAGCTCAACAAATGCAGATGCTGACTGTTCTGCAGCACTCAAGATCCACCCCCCTTCTTCCAGCCTCATCCCCACTCATGTCTTTTCTCCACAAGCCCTGGCCAGGCTGTCCTACCATCATCCCCAGTGGTCAGGCTGTGTTCAGCCCAAAGACTGTTTCTAAAGAGGTGAGGCTGAAAGTGAGCAGGGTCTGCCAGCATGTGTTTCTGGAAGACATTGCCTACCCATGACCACCCCCCCTCCTGACCCCCATGCTGTCCTTGCTGCTTGCATCTATGCTGATGAATTCAGCAGATAGGAGGAAGTGATAGGCCCGGCGTCTCCTGCTGCCCACCTCAGCACCATGGACAGCAGCCTGAGCCACAGCCAGAACTTGTCTGCTCTCTCCTGTCCCACACACCTCCCTGAGGGCCTGGAGGTGTCCGAGTCTCCTCTGTATACCCATGTATGCAGCAGCTCGAGCTCCCTGCTCTAGGATGGAGAGAAGGGGTCTGTGAGTGGCTTCTGGGACATGCTGCTGGGAGGAGATGCAGTCCACACTAGAAGGCAGGAAGGCAGAGGAAAGCAGTGAGCCACAGAAGTTGTCACCTGAGCTGGGCCTCAAGCATGAGAGGGGGCAATGGGGAACCACCTGGCACAGGCACCCACATGTATACACATACATGCATACCCAGGTGCTCACATATGCACACACATATATAGGTAATGTGTATAGCAAAGACAGAAGTGCCACACCCTGTCCCCTAGGTCATAAGGCTCTGCTTTCCTCCTCTCTGGTTCTGCAAGTTGATACAGGGCAGGAGGTCGGCCCTTGGCTGCCCTTCCGTGGAGCCCATCTGATCGTCTTCTTGGAGCTCCTGGGAGGCAGGATTGGGGTCATCCAGCCCGAACCCCATAAAGACCCAGACTCTTTGTTATGCTTTTGGCTATGAAGCACACACACACACACACACATGTGCCCATGTCACCCCTGCTATTCAGCTCCCTGGGATAGAACAGCTGGGCCCCTTGGCAGGGGGAGGGACCAGTGCCACATTCAGTCCTTGCAGACAGCCCTGCTGTAGTGTGGGACTTGAAACGACGGAAACACGCCTTCCTGGGCCTGGTGTAGCAGCAGAGTGGAGTGTTGTGGACTCCATGGCACTCTGCTGTGCAGGCCACAGGGTTCCCCAGTCCCCTGCACCCAGGGGTCCCAGGGTATGTGGCCTCCGAGGCTTCCCTTCTGGGTGGCCAGTGGCTGTGGAACCACAGGTGCACAGAGAACCATCAGCCTGGATCACTGGTTCCAGGTGACACCCCATTAGAGGGCAATCCTGCAGTCATACCTGAAGAGCTGAGAGGTGAGGGTAGCAGGGAACTTTCAGGTGCCTTTGGAACCTCCTGAGTCCTCGAGTTTCCTGAAGAACCGGGCAGGGGGACCCCACAGACAGATGGGCCCACACCGAAACCTTCAGTGCAGCCAGGCAGACAGCTTTCTGGACACATCCCTCACCCTTGTCTGCACACACAGGTGCCCACATATATGCACACACACGCATGCACATATCTACGCATACAGGCATCCCTGTGGGAATACAACAGGAGCCCACACTTATAAACACATGACACCTCTCACACACAGTACATGTGAACACACACACATGCATGTAGGTGCCACCTCCACATAATCAGGTGCTCACATAAACACACACATGTATAAGTAACCCCACATGCACACACGTAAATCACACGTGCACTCAGATACCGGCACAAGCCTGCCATCCGTCCTGCTGCAGCCTCTTCAAAGGGTAAGGGCGTTGACATGCATGTTACCCGGGCTCACATGTGTTTGGTGCTGACACGCAGGGAAATCCTGGCCTACAACAACAGTCACCTCCGTGTGAACAGCCAGTCTGTGCGCACTCCCTCTGCATCCCCTCCTTTCCTGCGCCAGGTGTCATGGCTCCGAGCCTGCCACTCAGAACTCTGCCCACGCCCGAGCTGTGCACTGGCAGCCGAGTCTCCTAATCTCTCCGAGGGCCGCACTGATTGAGCTTCCCCTTGGCAACAGAAAGAGCGAGCTATGAAGCCTGCAGACTCAGCTTGGGTTCTATCGGGTGGCAGTGAAACCTCTCAGTGCTTGACAGAAAGCGACTGAAGGCAGCAACTTCCCCCAGCCCAGGGAGGGGTGGAGCCCTCGTGTGAGTACTTCCTAACCGGGGTTCCTATGCGGTCCATATTCTCTCTGTACAACTTGTCGAACCAGCTGATTGTTGAACCCTTCAAAGCGTTATCTACTCATCCTTGAGATGTATTCCAGGGCGCGTGTCTTTTTAGGAATCAGAACCCCTGGCCCCGCCTTCCCCAAAGAGCTAGTGCCAGACGTCTTGGCCCCCGATCAGGGCATCCCCAAGTGTCCCGTGGCCATCTGTGCGCTTGGCCAGCCCAGCTCACGGCGGCCCGCTGGGCCGGTCTTAAAAGTTCTCCCCGCCCTCTCTCAGGGTGGCTCCGAGGGCAGAGCGCTTCGCACTCGGGAGGAAACGCCGCTGCAAACTCTAGCCCCTGAGACGCTCAGTTCTCGCCGGCGCACTTGGCTCGTTTGCCAGGCCCCAGTGCTTGGGAGACGCGGCACGCACGGCGCCGGCTGTGCGGGAGGAGCCGGGGGTCAACGAAGCCGGCGGCTCCGCCCCCTCCGCGGGCGCTGCGGGCCGCCGGCTCCTACCCTGCGTGCCGGGGATCTCGGGGCCGCACGCACGCAGCGAGCGCGGAGGCAGGGCGCCATGGCGAAGGCCCCGCAGCGCCGGCGCGGCCCCGCGGCGCCCGGGAGCGCCCTGCGCGCCCTGCTGCGCTGCAACCTGCCACCCGGCGCCCAGCGCGTGGTGGTCTCCGCAGTGCTGGTCTTCCTAGTGCTCATCAACGTCGTGCTGATATTCCTGTTGGCCTTCCGCTGAGTAGCTGGGAGGGGTGAGTGGCGCGGATCGCGCGTTCTGTGCGGGCCGCGGAGGGGTGGACTCCCTGCCCTCCCCCACCCCCTACCCCGCATCGTGCTGTCAGAGCTCGACCCTGGGGTGGTGCCGTCCTACGGGTGTCCGAGGGGTGTGGTGACACACGTGCCACAGGGGTCCTGCGGTCCGCTCTCGGTGCCATGGGCGGGGGCGGGGGGGGGGCTAAAATGGCGCGTCTGACTCAGTGCGTGACTGTGGCTGCGGATGCAGCTGTGGCCACGGCTGGCTGTGTTCTTGTGGAGACGGTTTGCATGTGACTGCCGGAAAAGGGAGCTGATCCGAGCATGCTCTTAGACCGGACATGCTGAGCCAGGGCATGGATGGGTACTTGGACACCTTAGCGCACAATATCTAGGGGTGCTCTTTTTGCGGTTTAGGCCTTTGCGGAAGTGTCAGCCATGTCAGAACCACAGCAGAACCAGCCTGGAATCCTCCAGGTCCCCCTCTCCTGTACCCTGCTCAGCTGGAGCCTGGGGGCTTCAAGCGTGGCTGTCCCCAAGACAGAGCAGTAGGAAGGGCCCTCCCTGGGTGGAAGCCGGCTCTGTTGTCCTGGAAGTAGAGCCTGAACTCCCCCTACACTGTCCCCTTGAGTGAGTCTCTGAGCTCCTGAGACCCCCTTGGTCTTAGTGACCCCACAGAAACCATCATTGTCACTGCTCTGACTTGCTAGGGCCTCTTCAGTTGTGGGCCAACCATGTGTGGGCATAGAGGGCACAGTCTTGTGTTCATCCGGTGCCTCCTGTGCTGCCCCTGGTGCTGGGACAAGGAAGTGACAAGGGTTACCAACACCTCCCTGCCCTCTTCTTTCCTCTACCCACCCCCACCTCCAGCCCCCAGCCAGGGCTTCCAGTTCTGGACACTGGACTCCAGTGGTTATGGCTGGAGCCTTGCCTCTTGGTCCTGCACCCAGACTCTGTCCTCAGTAGAAAACTGCCTAGGAAATATCCATCCACACCAGCCCACAAGGATGACCAGAATAGGGGAAGAGAGGGAGGCACGTGGAGTGGCATTGGGGCGGGGCTCCTCTGAGAGGCACTGGGGGACAAAGGGCGACACCTCAACTGGGATAGGAACCGGGAGGAAGCTGGGCTGTGTTACTTCCTCCTGGCCTATGGCCTCAGACCCCAAATTGGGGATAAGGGTCCCTGAATCTTCATGGACTTTCACACAGTAAGCCACATCCTTTAAGGTCCTGACCGGGAGTCAGCTTGTCTGATTCATGCCGGCTCCCCAACTACATACCTGCTGTGTGACGGTGAAGCCTGGCCTACCTGCAGAGATCTGCATAGGTGGGAACAAGTGGCAGTGGCCTCCGTGTGGTGGCTGGGCTTTAGGACACACCTGGAGGGACCCTGTCTCTCAAGGTATGGCTTCTCAGGGTTTGGCTCCAGGGGAGAGTCAGGGCTAGTGTTGCCTCCTCCCTGGACTGGCTTGCTGAAGCCCTCCTCTGGGAGAAGGGGTCGCACCTGAGCTGGCAGTAGTGTTGCAAGTGGCCATGCCCATGCCTCATTTTGCCCACAGTGGACACACACACACACACATACCGGCTGGCAGGGTCCTCCAGGACAGTGGCTGGGAGTCCAGGGATAAGGGTGGGGAAAAGTGTATGTGCAGGCAGGCCCTGATGCGTGAAGCAGCCCCTCAGGTTCCTATACTGAAATGTTTTTGCACACGAACTGCCCTAGGTGGTACCGAGGGAAACCTAAAGTGGCTGTGCTGTGTGGCGGTGGGGAATGGGGGGGGGCAGGACCACACGGTGCACAGGGCCCACCTGGTAGTGCTCCGATTCTACCTTGACTGCTAAGCCAGGCCATTGTGGGGTGCAAGGGCCATTGTCAGCACATGGTCCCTGTAAGGTGAGGCACACGTTCCCTCAGCCCACCCCTCCTCTGCTGTCCCAAGCCCCTGGAGCTGTTCATCCAGCACTCAGGAGCAGAAATGGAGCCCAGCAGGCAATGGAGCTCCGGGCTCTGCAGGGGCTGTGTGGGAAGGGCAAGGGAGCGTGCCTCACGCAGCCACTCAGCAGACAGGAAGCATGCAGGGAAAAACGAACCGGAGAGCTGCAGGCCAGAACTAAAGTGGTTGACCTGGCAACCGCGGGCATCCCTCACAGATGGGGCTGCTGCGGGTTGTTCCTGCTCCTGAGCTGGGAAATCACAGGAAGGAGCCTGTGCTTGTTAACACTTACAGTCCTAGGGCTCCAGACCTAGAGCTCTCATTGGGGTGCTGCTCAGCTGCTGCTGGGATTTGGGTCGGGGAGGAGTGTGGCAAGGGAAAGCAGAGCCCAAGGGGAAGATTCTACGAAGGTTTGAAGACTACAACAAACCTCATCTACGGGTGCCATGGCCGAGCCCTGGCAGATGGGGTTGGGGGGTGAATGTGGCATTATTGAGTGTGAGATGACCTCCACAGGCCCCGCAAATCCATGGTGATCCGAGTCAATAGTCACAGCCCTGGCCTGGCCAGGAGATGTGGGGATGGAGGGGGAAGGTGAGAGGGAGTCGTCTTATCACAGGCCCGTGGTGGGGTGGGTGCAGAGAAGCATGGCTGGGCAAGGGAGCATGCCATGTCAGGGACGGCCATTCCAATCCTGCCATCAGGCCCGCTGGCAGCTCCATTGCTGAGCCCTGCCCAGAGAGCACTTCCAATAACACCTGCAAAAATGGGAACCCTCTTCCAGGGACTACACATTTGGTGAGCATCCCCCACCCCTAACCCCTCAAACCTGTCCACCCACGACTCTCCCCGCAGCTCATCAGCGATGGCAGTGTGGTCTGTGCCGAAGCACTCTGGGACCATGTCACCATGGACGATCAGGAACTGGGCTTCAAAGCCGGGGACGTCATCGAAGTGATGGACGCCACCAACAGAGAGTGGTGGTGGGGCCGCGTCGCCGATGGCGAGGGCTGGTTTCCCGCCAGCTTCGTGCGGGTAATGGTTCTGACCTGCCCTCCCCGCCCTCTCCAGCCCCTAGAGAACCACCCCACCCTGCTTGGAAATCCAAGGTCTCAGCAGCACTGGGCTTGCAGGGGGCAGGGGCAAGGGGCATTGGGCAAGTGGTGTAGGGGAGCTTGACCCCCAGCCCTCCAGCTCTGCTAAGTCAACATCACGTCCTTCATCCCCTACTCCCCTTCAGCCCCACTCCTGGTGAGCCCTGGGTGGGCGGGGATGGGGGCAGATCGGAACTCATAGCCCAAGTTAGCGTGCATCATCTATTCCAACTTGGGACACACCCACTGGGCATTTACTACATCCCACAGAGCACCCTTGGGTCACCTCAGTGACCTTTCTCCAGACCCCAAGATGTGCATGCTATGATTTCATCCATGTCATTAGCTCAGAAGGGACTCAGGTCCTATCTTTGGGCTCCAAGGAAGGAATCCAGATGCAGTCACCCCAAGGCTAGGCTGAGGCTAGCCAGGAGTGGAGGTCCCAAACAGGTGGCCCTCCTGCTCCACATGCTGGCTCCCCAAACTGTTCCCTTTGGGCCCCTACTTGTAGTTCAGAATTACCCCAGCAAGGCATCCCTCCTCATCCTGAGGCTGTATGAGTAGGCAGTGCTGCACTGACACCTGGGGTGTGTCATGCACACAGTGCATCAAAGGGGCTTGGTGACCCACAAGGACCACTGATGACAGCTGCTGGCTGCTGTCCTGTTGTCCCCTCATCCAAGCCCTTGTGCCTGAGCTGAGACAGTGGGAAGCTTCTCAGCCAGAACTCCCCCACTCCCTTTGCTTGTCCCCGGAAACCCTGCTCCCTCAATACTGCTGCCCCAGGGAGGCATATGGGACACTGACGGTGGGCTGGCGGGTGTGTGGGTTCCTACAGCTGCGGGTGAACCAGGATGAGCCTGTGGACGACGAGGCCCCACGGGCTGGCACGGGTGGGGCGGAGGACGGCGGAACCGAGGCACAGAGCAGCAAGGACCAGATGCGGACCAACGTCATCAATGAAATCCTCAGCACAGAACGTGACTACATCAAGCACCTGCGGGACATCTGCGAGGTGAGGGGCAGTCCTAGGGCTACGGGCACTGGGTGGTGGCCGGCATGGCAAGGAGCATGAGCTAACCCCACCCCGCCCACAGGGCTACATCCGGCAGTGCCGCAAGCGCGCCGACATGTTCAGCGAGGAGCAGCTGCGTACCATCTTTGGCAACATCGAGGACATCTACCGGTGCCAGAAGGCATTCGTCAAGGCCCTGGAGCAGAAGTTCAACCGGGAACGACCGCATCTCAGTGAGCTGGGCGCCTGCTTCTTGGAGCATGTGAGTGTGGAGAGTGGCCTCGAACCAGCCCCAGGCCCTGCCCAGTCAGCAGCACCCCTGCCCTTGGCATCTCCACCTCCCTGTGCACCTGCTGCTTTCTAGAAGCTTCCACATGTCTTGGGTGTGCCTTGCCTCTTGCTGTCACCCTACAACACAGGCTTTTGGGGGGGGGGCTGGGAGGAATGGGGACAACATGAAGGAGGGAGGGAGGTCCCTGAGGACAGGGAGACGTGGAACGTTGCCATGGGGAGCAGAGGAGGGAAAAGGTGGCCCTGAGGGCTGTTTGTGGCAGATTGCAGGGTTCCTCAAACTGGCATGAATGTTGAGTCCACTCTCAGTGTCGCTTGGCCTTTAGCCAAGGAGCTTTGGATGGGTCGGTTGAGATCCTGCCTAGCGTCACCTCTTCCAGCAGCAAGCATGAGGCTGTGCAGAGGCTGCCGTGCCCCTCCACCCCCTCTGTGCCTGATAACCCTCCCTGATGAGCAGCACTGACTGCATCCCGACTACCAGCGCTGGGGCGGGGGGGTGACAGGGGCTTGCACCTGCAGAGATGTTCCCACCCCTGGTGGGGGGGGGTGCTGCTAGGCAAACACCTGCGGCCAGCTGGCCGCCTGGAGGGACAACAGTCCTCACCTGCAGCTCTGTTCCCTCCCCCTCTCCACCCTTCTCCCAGCAAGCAGACTTCCAGATCTACTCGGAGTACTGCAACAACCACCCCAACGCCTGTGTGGAGCTCTCCCGGCTCACCAAACTCAGCAAGTACGTGTACTTCTTCGAGGCCTGCCGGCTACTGCAAAAGATGATTGACATCTCCCTCGATGGCTTCCTGCTGACCCCGGTGCAGAAGATCTGCAAGTATCCCCTGCAGCTGGCTGAGCTGCTCAAGTACACACACCCCCAGCACAGGTAGGCAGCATGGAGTCTGGGGCTGGCAGGGGAGGGGAGTGGCCTGAGGCTTTTTAATCCCTTGCTCAGGGCCTCTGCTCACAGCACAGTGGTAGGCACATAACAAAGCAGGCTGTGTGGTTGGGAGCTCTGGCAGTACTGCGCGGGAGGGCAGAGATGCCCGCAGGAGGTGTGCTTGGCTTTTGTGCAGGGGCAGGGGCTGTGCCTTTGTCAGGTGAGGGAGGCGGCTGCATGCATGGGGCTGCAGGGAGCTCCCACCCCAGCATCTCCCCCGCTCCAGCTCTGTTGCTTCCCCACCCCCCACCCCCTGCTCCCTACCAGGGATTTCAAAGATGTCGAAGCTGCCCTGCACGCCATGAAGAATGTAGCCCAGCTCATTAACGAACGGAAACGGAGGCTGGAAAACATTGACAAGATTGCTCAGTGGCAGAGCTCCATAGAGGACTGGGAGGTGAGGGCCCCAAGGACCCAGAAAACATCCTGGGTGGGGACTTGGCCTCTGGCTTTGACATTGTGCTTGCCCCTGGGAGCCGAGGTGGAAAGCCGTGCTCCTGGCAAGCTGGGGGTGGGAAAGTTAATCCTGTCGTGAAGGTGGGGCCTGGGTGCAGCCCCACAGCAGGCCGGGGCTCCCCCAGGAGCTCCCAGCCACACCACAGAATTCCTAGAGAGGTGTTTCTCCAAGTGCTGGTCTCTTCCCCTGCCCTCAGGGGACGCACTGAATCCCTGAGTTTTAGTTGACACCCAGGATTGCCGACAGAAGGGGTCAGGTCCCTCACAGTGCACCAGGACAGGGGTACCTCCTGGCTCTGTTTTCCTGCTTGCACATTCCGGCACCTGCCACTCTTGCCTTTTAGGGCAACATCCCACCCCACTTCCCACTTCCCACCCCAGAGGCACAGAAGGATCTGATATTCAGCCCTGCCCAGCTGTCTCCTACACAGGCTGTGCTCCCGGGGACTCCCACCCGTGCAGTGACATTGCCATGCACTGTGCCAGCTGTCAGAAAGCCATCAACCACAGTCAGCTGCACACTATGACAGAAATCCAGCATTCTAGGCCTCGCCCTCGGCAGACTGAACCAGAATCCCTGCAGTGGGGCTGAGCAGTATGGGACTGGGTTTTGGGGGGTCTAGCCCTGTGTAAGGACACCTACAAAACACAGTCCTCCCAGGTGAATGGACAGCTGGCAATGGCTCCTGGCCATGGTTTATCTGTTTAAGGAGGACCTGGAGGTGGGGCAGGGCTTACTCAAATGATGTTGAGACCCAGATGGCAGGAACTGGGGCACTGCAGGCACGAAGATGGAGCCTGTGTAGGCCTCCTGTATGGAGACTGCAGAGTTGACTTCCTTCCAGCGAGGCCTCTATACTTTTCCTCTGGGCCAGCACTGAGATATATATGAGTCCCCTGTGGAATTCTGTATCTTCTAAGAGCCACCCTAAAACACATTAAGAGGTGACACTGCCATGTTACTGAATGCAACCTATGCAATGTATCATTTCAACCTGGAATCAACACATCGTTTGTGAAATGCATTCCCTTCTTAATTTCATCCTCAATCTTCAAAATCAGAGTGTACCTTACACTGATGTCTCTCAACAGGGACCAGCCGCATTTCCCGTGTTTAGGGGCTGTGTGGCTACCAGAGTCCCATTTGCAAGGAGAGTTAACTCAGGTGCACACTCCCGGTGCAGAGAGAAGCCCAAGGCCAAGTGCACTGGGCTCACGGCTGTCCTTGGGATCCTCCCAGGGGGAAGATCTCTTGGTCAGGAGCTCAGAACTCATCTATTCCGGGGAGCTGACCCGTGTAACACAGCCGCAAGCCAAGAGCCAGCAGAGAATGTTTTTCCTCTTTGACCACCAGCTCATCTACTGTAAGAAGGTACCAGGGTCACTCGGACTTACAGAGACTGATAGCAGCCACAGCCAGTGCAAGGGGACCTGCTGGGAAACATGCGGGTAGTGCCTCCTTCCTGGGAGCTTGGGCCGTTGGGGCTAGGATGGGCACAGCTCTCCCAGGCTGATTAGGGCCCAGGGCTGTTGAGAACACTTTGCTTGCTGTCCTCCCTCTTTCCCCCTCCGCTCAAACCCTCTCTTCTCTCACTGCAAACTTTAAGCCTGGGGTCCTGTGCTCTGGTCTCACCCAGCCCTCCTCTGTCTGGTGGCCATGTCCATGAAGCTCTCCTTCTTCACCGGTGCCCCTCTTGCTGTGGGATGTGGGCCGTCAGTCCTCCAGCTGGCAGGTGTACTGCCAAGGAGCCAGGCTGCCTCCATTTGGGGCTGAGCACAGCTATTGGCCAAACTGTGTCTTCAGGAGTTAGTCACCTGCAGGGGCGGTAGAGTGGATGGGTAGGTGGGCAGAGGGGTTGGGAGTGGCCTGGAACATGGTAGGTGAGTGCAAGAATGGCCAGGGCTCAAAGTTGCATCCGGCAGGACCTGCTGCGCCGGGATGTGCTGTACTACAAAGGCCGGCTGGACATGGACAGCCTGGAGGTGGTAGACCTGGAGGATGGGAAGGACCGAGACCTCCACGTGAGCATCAAGAACGCCTTTCGGCTGCGCTGCAGCACCTCGGGGGACAGCCACCTGTTATGTGCCAGGAAGCCTGAGCAGAAGCAGCGCTGGCTCAAGGCCTTTGCCAGGGAGAGGGAGCAGGTGCGACTGGACCACGAGACAGGTGCGAGACCCTGCTGGGCCTTGCCCCACCTCTAGGACCCACCCAATTCACCTGTCCCTGCTGGGTAGCCAGAATCACCTTAAAACTAAAAAAGATACATCTCAGGCCCAGGGCTTCACCGTGTGGCTCCAGGCACCTCCTGGTTCCGGGTCAGCACAGGACACCACCCTCACCACTGACAGGAGTGGCCTTCTGCAGCATTCAGCCCCAGGCCCTGGCTCTGTGGGCTTCAAACCCTGGGGAAACAGAAAGTGGGCAGTGGGCACTGGTCCCCAGGAGTTGCTCCTATGTGCAGGTTCCTCCCTGTTCTGGGTTCCCTGCATTACTCTCAGCAGAGACCAGGTCAGTTATTGGTCTTGGGGAAGGGTCCCCACGATGGAGAACATAGAGCTTAGCAGGCTGGGGTACCATGAGGGTAAAGGAAGGACCTGGCGTTTTTCAGTTCTCTGTCAAGGATTCCTCCCCAGCATCTGTCCTGTCCAAGCTGGCCAAGGCTTCCTGGTGGGAGCCTGGTACACCAGGTAGCCAGGATACAATCCCTGTGACCTAAGGGTCCCTGGGGGCACTGTGGATAGTACAGGCAGGCATGCACCTGGCACCTCAGTACAAGGAGAGAAATGGACAGGGCGGTGGTCTCATGTGTTTGTGCCCCAACCCTTCCTTCCCATCCAGGCTTCTCCATCACTGAGTTGCAGAGGAAGCAGGCCATGCTGAATGCCAGCAAGCAGCAGGCCACAGGGAAGCCCAAAGGTAAGTGGACAGTGGTCCCACATCTCCAACTGCTCAGAGGCCACTCGGGTCCTCAGAGGTGCCCTCTGCCCAAAGACTAGAGAAAAAGGGCTAGCTACTGAAGATGACGCTTGGGCTGGCTAATTGATGCTTTTGCTTTGGGCCTCCACCCACGCGGCAGTGGTGCTGGATAGTGTCGGCACGCACTTTCCACCAGGTGCCCTTCTGAGAGGTGCCATGGAAAGACACGGCAAGAAGTTACGCGCCATCTGTCCTCCGTTCCCACTGCAGACCAGCAGCTCAGGCCTTTGGGAGCAATCAGAAAAGTCCTGTGTGGTCAAGACTGTCCCTTGGTGGGGGGAAGATGTCTGGGGCAGTGCTCCCAGCAGCAGAGGCTGCTGCTCCATTCTGACCCTAGCCCCGTTTCCCCCCCACCCAGCTATTGGCCGGCCCGGCTACCTGATGCGCCAGAAGCACCCGGCACTGCCCGCCAGCCGGGCCCAGCAGCAGGTCTTGGTGCTGGCGGAGCCCAGACGGAAGCCATCCACCTTCTGGCACAGCATTAGCAGGCTGGCACCCTTCCGCAAGTGACCAGCGCCCACCTGACGGGACTCTGTGGACCTGTTCTTTGAGGCCCGCTCCATCTGGCCCTCCATGTGGCAAACAGCCCAGCTGAGGACAGGAATCCCTGGGTGCCACCAGGATGCAACGGGGTCTGTGATACTGGCACATTGAGAGACCAACTGGGAGGCGCAGACCCTTGCACGTGCAGTCTCTTCCTGCAGCCAGGGCCCTTGCTGGCCCAGCAGCCTCCACAGCCCCGGAAGCCAGGCACCACAGCCCAGAACCACCGACCAAGCTGGCGCACAGAAGATTCTGGTTGCTTTGGACCTTCTTTGGAAATCTAATCATCCCCTCTTGCCACTCACTTCCCTGTGGGCAGGAGATCCACTCCAGCCTTCAGCTGCCTACAAAGCTGGGCCCTGTGCCCCTCTGCCCTCCATTTCTCCTTTGGGGCCCCCATCCCCGAAAGGCGGCTTGTATCCTCAGAGGGGGTGGGAACCAGGAACTCCATGCCCAGATGTGTAGCCCAGTGCCACCATTCTTGCAACTGGTGTCTGTGGGAGACCCTCCTCCTTGTGACGTGTCAGTCTACATTGGGAAGAACAGAGCCGTCCAGGTAACTGTGCCCTCTGGCCCAGCCTTGTGACCCATCAGCCTGCAGCTGTGATGTGGCTGCAGGTCCACCTGGTGGCTCCTGGTTCTTGTTTGGATTTTGTCATCTGTGTTTTTCTAATAATGGAGAAAAAAAACCGTTGTTAGTGACACAGAAAGATTGCCTTACCCTAGCCTAGTGAGCGTGAGAAGCCATAAGAACTGCATTCTGCGGCCCAGCCGGGTCAGTCCCAGCTGCACATCTGGCAGTGCTGGAAGTGCAGTTAGGGCCTGGTGCGCTGGGATGGAGCCCAGGGGACTCAGCAGCATGGATGGTCACTCTTGCACTATACCTTCTCCAAGCCAGAAGCCACATTTAATTTCATAAAGAAACTTGTGAAAAGTCACCTGGCTGCTGTCTTTCTGCCAGTGTCTCTGTGCTTTCTTTCCCCCTCACCCATCCTCCCGGTGTCACCTGGCACCCCATCTCTGCCCTAGCCCTCTCTGAGCAGAGGCAGGCGGCAGGTGGGGTGTGCCTCTCGGGTCCCCAGTGCAGGCTGGCTCAGATGTGGGGCTCATGCTGAGGGAGGTCAGGAGGAGCTGGGAGGATGTAACCAGGTTGCAGTCACATGGACACACCAACCCCAGCCCGCCCTCCATCCCTAGGCTGCTCCCACCTGAGTAGCTGGATGATCAGGCAAGTGTGAGGGGACCCCCACAGTACTTCTGAGCCCCAGTGCCCTCCTCAGGGAGTATGCTCTTAGGACACCCCGGCCACAAGCCCAAAATATAGAGGCGTCTGAGGCGGGTTCCTTCCTCTTCCCAACAGTGGGAACAGCCCCCCAACTCCCTCCCTCTACCACACTCCAGCACCTGCAAGCCCTGGCATCGCCTAACTTGAAAGCAGCTACGCCTCTTTACAGGCAGATAAAAACCAATAGAGCAAAAACCATGAAAACCAGAATATGCAACACAAGTCAATCTTTATTGAAAACTGCAGTATTAATACATAACAATTCTTGTTACAATAAACGTGCTTTTAAGAATTTTAAATCTGAGCTCATCTACTCATCAGATTGCATAAAAAAATTGAAAGAGTCTGACTTTCCCCTAATGGAACTGGCTCAGGATGGGTGTTCCACTCCTTTGTACTGACACGGAATTCAATGCAGAGGCGAGGGATGCCTTAACACTGGAAGACAATGCTGACTGAAGCTTAAAAAACGTACCAAGAAAATGGTGTAAAAAACAGTATTTAAAAATTGTTTAAAAAAAAAAGGGAGGGGGACCAATCCTACCCCTTGAGGCTCCTTGCAGCCCCCTCCTCCAGCCGGGGCAGCCTGCCAGAAGAATGAAACAGCTGGCCCAGCTCCTCTATCCCAGGGCCCACTTGTGTGCACAAGGTGCAAGAAGAAGCCACGGTGAGGGAGGAGGGGCCGTCACGAAGCCTGGGGCTAACCAGCGCAAGTGACTGAGCTATATTTCAGCCCCTCAGGGTGTCTGTTCTTCAGATGAGTGCGAAAGGGGGAAAAGAGACAAGCCCTCTGAAACACCCAAGACCAAATTCCCATTTTCTACCAGAAATGATCACACATCCCCATCTCAGCTGTAGCACACTGGAAACTGCAACCTACAGACAGCTCAGGAGGGGCTGAGTCACGGCTCAGAGACAACACCGCGGGAAGATGTGCTGGAGTAGAGCCAGGCCCTGCCCTGCCCTCCCCAGCCAACCACCATGCCTCTTGAGAGGCCCCTCAGGAAGCACCAGAGAGAAGGACCATGCACAGCTGTGCCCACTGGCCAGTGCATGCACTGCAGTGCCTGACCTACTTGGCAACGCCAAGCTGACAATGAGAGACATCTGTCAGCTTCCAAATAAGGAGATGGCCCAACTGTTTATAGTAATACTGTTTTCACAAAAGACCAGTGAAGAAGTCTGACTTCCTCTTCTAAAGCAACCCCAATGTTGCCATGGCCAGTCTACACCAGCCTATCACCAGCAGCCCCCAGGCAGAGCACCCTGTCCCTGGGAGCACACTCCAAGCTGCTTGCCCTTTCACGTGCCCCAAGAGACACATGCACAGGACTTCCCAGCCAGATGGAGGAAGGTGCTGGGGGCCCAGCTGGGGAAGGGACCACCAGGCTCCTGGAAAATACTACACTTGCACAGCACAGCTTCACAGAGGAGCAACTGGCAGGCCAACAGCCATACCCTTCAGAATGCTTTTCAGTGACGGAGCACAGGAGACAAGGTAGATTCTGGAAATACTTCCATGCCCGGCTCTGGTTCTGCACGCGGCCTCACATCCCAGAGGCAGCAGTCTCCAGAGACTAGTAGTCACTTCCCACTGACCACTTAGCCCCCGGCCGGGATCTACACAAGCTCTAGGGGCACCGGGCAACAGCAGCTTTGCAGCCAAGCAACACCTCTCAGGACTTGGGGGAGAGGAGGAGACAGAACAATGACTCAGCGGAAGGACTCTCAAATTAGGGATGCTACATAAAAAGCAGAACTTTCTCAGAATGTTCCACAGTATGCTTGCAATACCAAACTACACAGCCGTGAAACAGGATTCTGACTCAAGTTCTATTCCTTAATTCATCTGGTTGGGACTGAACACTAATTAAAACTACACGCTGACAGGCTGGTTCCTGTTCTGAAGCCGAGTCTCCCCTGATCTGCAGGACCTGTCTTACACCAGTACATTCCACAGCTGACACTGCTTCAAGATCTCCACATACATACACACACATCGTATCTGATAGTCCCAACTCAACTTCACAAAATGGAAAAAAGATAAAAGAAAAACTTTACAGGGAGAAATATTTAAGAAGCGAATGTAAATAGGAGGGCAATACAGCCCGCTCTGCTCTTCTTTTAACGTGTTCTTTCATTCTGTGCTGATGGAACCACTGGCCCTGGGTCCGAGTCTCAGAAAGCTTGAGGACAGCGCACAGGACTGCCTGTCACGTTACCCACGGCTAACAGGTAGTCTCTGTGTGTGTGCCGGTGTGCGCATTGCTTACTGTGTGTGAGCTTCCACTGTCGTCATGTGGGACTTTTTCAAAGCACACACTAAGATCTAAGTATTTTCTGCTATCTACTGTCACTCAGCTGGGAGAACTGATGTCTGTTAGTCAGCTGAGACGTGGAACCCGTAGGATCTTTGGATATTGCAAACCATCTACTCTACGGATGGAATCAATCATCCACACAGACTCAAAGAAACGGACCAACTGTGTGGCGCCTGGGGTGAACGTCTGCCCTTTTCTGCCCTCCCTCCCTACACATACGGGGTAAGTGCTCAAGAAGCAATTTAAAGTACTCATCAGTAAACATTCTATGTTAATAGTCATTAGAAATAAGGAATCTTCTGTTTACAATGATCCATGCAAAAATATTCCTAAACTCCTTATAAAATAAAAATATGGAAAAGGACATTATGAAGAGTACTTGATATAAAAAAAAATACTAAAGTTATCAAAGGCTCAGTGGTCAGGCGTTCCACTTGCCAGAGGGGCTGAAGGCCAGTGGGCAGCCTCCCCCGCCGCATCAGAGCCCTGACCTAGCTGCCAGACACAGAAGCACAGAACCCCCTCCCAACCGAGGTCCAGCACTCACAATAATGGGGTGGAAAAGGCTGGACCCCCACCCCCTCTTGACAGACCCCTAAAAGGAAATAAGTCCTCACATTCCCAACCCCGACCCTAAATGAAAACAGACACCCACACCTATCCATACCAATCCAGCACATTCCGGGAGAAACAAAGTGGGGGAAAAAAACAAAAAGCTCTTGGAGTTCTTATGTACAATGTTCAGATCATAAGCTCAAAACTCTTGCCCTAATACACAGCAACAGGCAGGTGCAGCTGGCCCTGCCTGGCCCTCCTTGCTGTCCGTGCCTGCCTCGCACCGAGTGCCTCCAGCTGCAGAGATGATGGCTGAGGCTCGGAGGCCAGCCCCCAGCCCTCCTGCCTCCCTCGCCCCATCTGCAGGAGCCCCTCCAGACAATCCCCGAGGACAAGTCGCCATCAGAAGTTCGGGTTTCAACATTTTCGGACGTTATCCACGGCCCTGACTCTCTACAAAAGACATGAGGAATTTTAAAATCAAGTTTTGTTCCCTTTTAATCATTCTTGAATATACAACTTTCATCATTACAGGCAGGTGAAACCTTTGCCCTTCTTTGGCAGGGGTGAGGGGGGCACAGAAATGCCTACATTTTCAGCTGAGTCAAATGCTTCTCAGGGGGAAAAAAAATATGAAATGATTTTTCTATGCTAACTAAAGCAGAGGACCATACCTCCTCCGAGCTTGGTTGTTTTCCACCTATCATCCACCCCGGGAAACAAATCAGTTCTACACAGGACTTTCCAAGGAAGATGCATACTTCATCATTCTTCTCATTCTTCTGTAAGGAAAATTTAGATAGCAGGGAAACTGTTTTTGCTGATACACAAACCACCCCCTCGCCCCTAACTGTCCTGTCATGTCGCTCTACTCTCTTGGGCTGATCTTACGCATGCCCCTGTCCCAGTGACCGCACCAAGCCCAGCTGGAAGGAAAGAGACGCTAACTGGCTGCACCCCATCAACTGCAGCCTCCCCTTTCCCTGTCCCTGTAACCCGCTCCCACCAGTGCAGTCAGTGCCAAACAAAGAGTTGCTGAAAATTAAAAGTCCATGCCCCTAACTGGCAGCCCACATCAACCCCAAAGGGTTGAAGAATCATCTAAGGAATTTCAGATGCTCTATGAAGAAATTCACTTTAACACTTAAAACTTTAAGACTCTGCATACATTACAACAGTGCATTAGTGATACAAGTTGTAAAATACGTTTCCATTCCTTTGGATTTTGCATATGATGGTTTTGCATCAGTCACTGCAGGTAGATTGAGCAAGCTTTGTTTTTGTGTTTGTTTAAACATGCATTCAACTAGATATGATTCAGAATAGATTAATACTCCCTTTTTATCATTACAGTTAGCTAAAAAATTGCCAGGCAGTCCACAAAACAGGATTTTCTTTTGAGACCAACCCACAGAGTTAGTTGGAGACTAACGGCACTGGGACCTGCTGGGCCGGGATATAGTCGAGTTTAGCTAAGTGTCGAGAGCATAGAGAAGAAAGTCCTGGTTGGAGGCTCAAGGCCTGCAGCACCAGCTGTGGAACCCCAATGATGTGACTGCACAGCTCGTTCCTCAAACCTGCAGGAAAAAAACAGAATTCTCTCAACATCTCAGCCCCAATAGTTCAGCGAAGACCAGAGCCAACAGGACTTGTTTCTTTCTTCCTTCTACTTTGCCAAGTTCCAATAATAAAAAGTCCCACACTGTCCTGCTCTTGGACCACAGGCTGTTCTCCCTCCGTTACCCTCTGAGAAGTGCTCTCCTTATAAGGACCCAGCCAGCTTTCACTGGTAACTTACATTTGCAGGGTGATCACCACTGAGGGGGCACGTAGCTGTAGGTGGGTGTTCCTGGGGCCCGGTACGTGGGTACAGTGACTGGATGGGGAGCGACGGGAGTTGGGGAATGAGCAGTCAGCAAGGTACCTGCAAGAAAAGAACAGCTTGCCACACACACCGCCCAACCTGTTCCTCCAAACTGCCCAGACAAGAGCAGGCAGGCCTGCGCCTCTGCACGAAGAAGAGACAGTTCAGGCTCTGTGAGAGCTCAGAGCACGTGAACTGTCTACACTCACAAGCTGTACACACACAGCCCACTCATACTGATCACATGTTTGTTAAAAGCTTATGTGCCTTCCCTTCATAGGGAACATTCAATGATTTTTGCGGGTCAAACTATAAAATTATAAAAATAAGTATCATTTAGATTTTAAAAAGAAAATTCTGATATATGTTGTTACACCAATTGTAAGGACATTATGCTAAGTGAAATAAGCCAGTCACAAAAGGACAACTAATGTTTGATTCCACTGACAGGAGGACCCTAAAGGAATCAAAGTCAGGCATACAAAGCCCAGCAGGGTGGTGGCCAAGGCTAAGGGCGCAGGGGACAGGAACTATTATTTATTGGTGACTGCAGTTTCAGATTTACAGGATGAAAAAGTTCTGGAAATTTATGTCACAATGTGAAGGCATTTAACATCACGGAACTGTACCACTAAAAATTGGCAGGATTTAAAAAAACAAATAGAAAGTGAGAACCACGGATTCTAAGCTACACAAGCTTCTGAATACATCAAGAAATACACATTTCTCCCATACTCACAGAAACTTGGCAATTAGCTCATGCATGCACAAGCAGCACCTCGCACACAGCGGCCGTCACCCCTGCTGCCCTCCCGGGGGCTCTCAAACATGCAGCCTCTGACTATGCCACACTATCTTTTGCCTTGGCAGTCCAAATGGGAAAAGCTAGACCCCACACTCTGAAGAGAAGCACACATGGAATCAGAGTACCTTTCGGGCACAATTTCCTTTTACTGAGGTACAGTTCAGAAAAACAAGTTACAAAGTCATTTTTCTTAAAGTATCAGTTCTGGACAACCAGGGGCATCAAATGTGAGCACTGCCTGAAGCTGTACTGCCATATTTATCCAAATGTCAGGACACAACCTAAATTCTGCATGGTAGAGTCCGGCACATTGGCTCAACTGGCTAGTCCTCCACCTCCACATGCGGCATCCCAAATGGACACTGGTTCATGTTCTGGCTGCTCCACTTCGAATACAGCTCCCTGCTTTACAGCCTGGGAAATCAGGACAGCCCAAGACCTTTGGACCCTGCACCCGTGAAGGAGATGCATGGGAGTCCTGGCTTTGGATGGGCTCAGCTCCGGCCAACTGCAGCTACTTGGGGAACAAACCAGTGGAAACAAGATCTTTCTCTCTGTCTTGCCTTCTTTCCCTGTAAATCTGCCTTTCCAATAAAAATAAATGAACCTTTAAAAAAAATGTGACTAACAGCCAAGGCCATTTGGTCTGGTCCTGCCAAAGCAAACACATGTGCGATTCAAAATTCACTTAATCCACAACAGGTTAAATTTTTGATATATGATTTTATATGGCCCATGAATGATGTTTGCAAATCTGCAAACAGCCCTGAGCAGAAGCAGGGCTCCTCAGCCCAGTTAGAGCATAGCCTCCAAGGCTCTAGAGCCCCCAAGTTCCAGGACCACCTGGCCAAGGTCACTGGTTTTTTCCGTGGCTTGGAGGAGACCCTGAGAAGTAATGAAGAAGAGTGTCAGAGGACTTCTACATGCTGCCATTTCTGTTACAACAGATCAACTTTCCTAGATTCACAAAAACTTCCCCATTAATACAACCTGGCCTGCAAAGCCCAAATTCAAAGGAAGCTATCAAGACCACCAATCTCCCTGGAACACAGTCTCTTTCGCTCATGAGGCTGGGAGTGCATGCTGCCACACAACAATATAACCGCAAAGCCAGGGAATGCCATTCAGCCACACTCTATGTGGCAGCCCTTGGTTCATGGGTTGTTACTTCACAGAACCCCACCGTTCAGTCTCCTCTAAGCTAAAAGGAGAGAGGAAGGACAGGGAGAGAGGCAATGTCCAAGGCAACTCACTGCTCCGTCCCCCAGGGAATCAGATGTCCTCCCACACAGCCATGGTCATGAAGTCCACACCAAGGCTCTGAACCTCTGACCGCTACCTGCTGTCCGTAGCTCTCACATCACTCAGAGTGGACACCCCAGGAATGAGAACTTACCTGCTGACATTGCCATCGTGGTCCCAGCCACCATGCCCATGGTGACCCCGTTGCCTCTAGGAGGAGGGATGGGAGCAGGGTACACCGTGGCTGGCATGCCGTTGGGCTGCACCACCGTGGTGTGGTGGATGACGTGAGGGGGTGCTGCATACAGCGGCTGCGTGTAGTAGGTGCCTTGCTGCGGGAAGAATAAAGAAAACTGCCATAGGGCCCCATGGCTGGGCATGAGACTCCCACGGCACCAGTCCTTCCCACATCTCAGGGCATAGCCAAACATACCTGTGCATATGGGCTCTGCTGGGGGTAGGCACTTCGCACGGGATACACAGCCGTCTGGTAGGGGTTGGGGGAGGAAGAATACGGTGGCACGGCCCCACTGGTAGGGGAACAGGACACTTTGTAAGGTGTGCCGGGAGTGTAACCTGGAACAAAGAATGCAATGGCCTGTGTCCACCCGTGTCAGGCACGGGAGGACAGCCTCCCTGACTCAAGTTTGCCTCTCCTGCTTCGACCCAATGAGCAAAACAAGAGGAGACAGACGTGTGTCTGCCCACATCAAAACAAAATAAACACCTGATCTGCTGGAACATAAATTAGCCTTGTCTTCCCATGGTTCGACATGTCTTGTAGTTCCACAATTAACTCCTAGACATCTTAAAGAAATAAATGTGGGGGGAAAAGGAAGAAAGAAATGGGGAGTGGGGGGTGGGCAGAGCTGTGTTGTAGCAAGCAAAGCCACCTCCTCTGCACAGGAATCACATATGGGTGCCAGTTCAAGTCCCGGCTGCTTCACTTCTAATCCAGCTCCCTGATGACGGTCTGGGAAAGCACCAGAGGATGGCCCAAGTGACTGGGTCCCTGCACCCACGTGGGAGACTAGGATGAAGTTCCTGGTTGCTGGTTATAGACCTGTCCAGCTCTGGCTGCTGCGGCCATTAGGGGAATCAATCAGTGGGTGGAAGATGTCTCTATATAGCTCTGCCTTTCAAATAAATAAATTGTAAACACACACACATATATAAGACTTAGCTACAAGCATGTTTATCACAGCAAAAACAAAAAAAGGTTGTTAATTACCACCAGGTCAAGACTTGTGGGTCTAGAAATAAAATTAAACATACCCACTTCCTTTTGTCCCTCCTCCAAACAACATGACAATGACAGTACGGCAGATTAAGAAATAAAAAGATAAAAAGCCACATTGAGACCAAGAAGGCAAAACACAACATCCTGAAGCCTACAGAGCTCTACAGGAAAAAGAGTTACCACCTTGACAAAGTCACACCCTGGCAGTAGCAAGGAAAGTGAAGAAGCAAGCAGCCACTCACCAGGCCTGGAAAACACTCAGCAACCCATTTTCCAAGCTGACAAAGGATTCACAAAACAACAGCTGGGGGTAAGGGAGGGCGGGAGAGACAGTGTGGTGACAGAGAATGCTAATCCTCTGCCTGCAGTACCAGCAGCCAATACGGACACCAGCTTGTGTATGGGCTGCTCCACTTCGATTCCACTCCCTGCTTATGACCTGGGAAATTGGTGGAGGGTGGCCCAAAGCCTTGAGGCCCTGTACCCTGGAGGAAGCTCCTGGCTCCTGGCTTTGGCATCAGTTCAACTATGGCCGTTGTGGCCATATAAGGAGTAAATCAGAGGATGGAAAACCTTTCTGTCATTCCTCTCCATAATTGTACCTTTTTAAAAAGAGAAAGAAAAGAAAAAAAAAGTTATGCTTTTTCACGCCCTTCACAGTCTTACAGATGGAGATGCCAAGGCCAAGACGCTTCTGCATGCCACAGGCAGCAGGTACCTCAGACCTGGGGACAACTGCAACCTGGGTCTAAACCTCATCCCGCAAACAGTGCCACCTGGACAGAAATCAGATCTTCCCAGCATTCTCTATGTTACTTTAAATCAACTGCTATTTAAACATGAAGTCTCAACCAACTTCTAATAAGGCAGAGCAGAATACACAGGTTTTCAGCTGAGACTTGGAACCCAAGTTCACAGATGAACAGTTCAGAGTCCCTTGCTCTGCTCAGCTCCTACTCTTTCAGAATAAAGGAAAAGATGGTTGCATGAACATATTAGCTTAAAATTCATGAAGCTGAAGTACTAGATGTACATGTCCTCTTGTTTGCCAATCATACCACAGCAAGGTTGTAAACCATCTCCTTAATTATAAATGTATGACAGTATGAGTGCCATCACGTTTTAGCCTTACACAAATATAGCTCAGGTCCTCCCAAGCTATTTCCAAGGAAGAAAAGAGGCACGGTGCATGGTGGACACATTGGTGACCAAACAGAGCAAAAGGCGTATTGCACCAACACAGTGGCTCAATCACCTACTAGAGATGACCTATAAAGACCCAGCCCTTCCTGTAAACTGCTTGACTTCGGGGAGGGAATTACAAGAAAACAGACCAGTATCACAGCAGTACTAGGCAGTCTTGGCGGGCCAGCAAGGGACAGTTAGCTCAGCATATAGGTCAGGCCTGTATCAAAACAAAGGAGCTGTGGCAGTGCAGGCTTGTCCTCGGTAGTCCTCTGGACAAGCGACACCAGCATGCGCTGTGAGTTGCCGCACACACAAACCACCCCACTAATGCAACTCAATTTCTGCACCACTATTTCTACTGGCCTACATAAATGATATCAGGATTCACTAAACCCACATCTCACCAAGATGGTAACAAATTCTTAGAAACAGTCTTGTGTGTGTGACATTTTGAGAACATACACTACATGAAAAGTTAGGAATCACCTGAACTTTCTGAGCTGGCATGTTTTCACATTGTTTGAAGCAGAGATGGGGAACCTGCTTCTCTGTTAAGGGCCATTTAGACATTTACATCATTTGTGAGCGATATAAAATCATCAACTAAAAAATGGGCTTGCTACAGATGCACTGAACTTTGAGCCCTACCTACAACTGTTTTGACAAGGCCATGCCAAATAATTCTGAAGGCTTTGTATGACCCAAGGAAGACATTCCACACACCCAGAAAAGAAAAAACTAATAGGATCCCCTTCATCCACCATACAATTAAAAAGCATCCAAGCAATAGATGAAATACCTAGAATATGAACATTGTATCTCTGATATACAAGTTGATAAGTATTTTTAGCATGATAACAATACATATTTTTAAAATTTTCTTTGAATTCACTGATTTTTATCTGAAAGATTTTACAGAAAGAGGGGGGAGAGAGATGTTCCATCCTCAAATGGACACATCAGCCAGAACTGAGCCAATCTGAAGTCAGGAGCTTTTCTGAGTCTCCCATGTGGGTGCAGGGGCACAAAGACTTAAGCCATCCTCCACTGCTTTTCCAGGCCATTAGCAGAGAGCTGTATCAGAAGTGGAGCAGCAGGGACTCGAACAAGTGCCCATACGGGATGCTGATGCAACAAGCAGAGATTAGCCACTATGCCATCATGCTGGGCCCTAAGACTATTTTTTAAACACTAAAAAACTGATGAATTGGATGTCTAGATCTGCTTCAAAATAACTAAGGGAGGGTGAACAAATTCCTGCTAATGCCAGGTAATGGTAGGGATTATCCTGCTATGTGTGTGGATATTTGAAACTGTTACTAATAAAAACATCAAAGGGGAGAAGAAAGTGCTAGGCAGACTGTAACGGATCAGAAGAAACCAGAGGAACAGGTGCTTGGTCTAATGGTTAAGATGCCAGAGGATGCTTGCATCTCCCAGCAGCATGCCCGAGTTCAACTTCCAGCTCAGGAGACCTACTCCAACTGCCTGTTAATGTGGACACAGGCAGGCAGCACGTGGGTTCCATCTTCAGGAGACCTGGACTGTTTCTGGTTCTTGGCCTCCGCTTTGACCAGTCCAGACCATTTCAGCCATTTGGGAAGTAAAACAGGATGGGAGTTTGCCGTGTGTGTGTGTGTAAAGCAAACCAAAACAAAACAAGCACATTTTTTACAAGCACATTCAATATGCCATATTGAGTAAGTACTGAGGGATAAATGAAAATTTTCAGTATGAACTGTTAAATAAAATTAGGGAATCATTATTTTTAAATATAATATTGGTGCCATACACATGCATAAGAATGTCCTCACTGCAATGTTAGGAAGGGCCATACTGAGTACACAGAACACAAACCATGAAGGCTACATATGAATTCTGAACTGAATCAGCAAATACTAAAAACACCACCTAAACACACTCACCGTGATACAAAGTAAATATGACAAAATGTTAACTTATGAATCTAAGTAGTATTAAGGGAATTCCCTGTACTGTCTATATATAGTCTTCAAGTAGACATTAACAGAATGGACAAATACAAAGCTTCCAGATAGCGAAACACATCTAAGTGGAACAGAAAAGCTCCATTCTGATCACCGTCACACACAGCCTGAAGAAACAACCAGGGCAAGGAGCTAGAGCAGCCCAAGCATCGCCACACCCCACAGCCCACTGGAAAAGTAACGCGATCCTGCTGGACCTGTGAGACGGCCATCAGCAGGAAGGCAGGGCTTTCCAGCAAGCTGACCTGCCAGTTCAGCATGGGCAGAAGAACAAGGTATTCAACACTGAATATTCAATGCACACAGTTAATCTTCATCAGCAAATTATGGCTATACATAACAAAACAGAGAAGCTATTTGAGGAAGTGAAAATGCCACAATGAATTCACAATCTAAAAACATCCTCTTAAAGACTCAAGAGTATTCTTAAAAAAAAAAAAAAAAAAAGCCTAGAACTATTTTGTCTATTCAAATCACAGAACAGTGTGAACCCAGAAGATGCAAGCTTGACCACCAGAAAAAAAAAAAAAAACTTCTAAGAACACAGAACGCTGCCAAACCCGCTGAGGAAGAACTGGCCGCAGTTCCCTGGAGACAGGCTCTTGGAGCCTGAAGCATTCTGTAGCTCCAACACATCCACCAAGAAGGGTGAGGTCCTCCCCATCCCACCCCCTTAAAAGCATTTTATAAATTATGTATTTATGTGAAAAGCAAATGTTCACAACAGTTGTTTCTGAACCAAGCTAAAGCCAGGAGCTTAGAACTCATTTAAGGTCTCCCAAGTGGATGACAGAGACCCAAATACCCAAATCACCATCTGCTGCCTCCTGGGGTACACAGCAGGAAGGGGCTGGAGCTGAAGCACAGCCAGCAGCCTCGGGCCAGGGCTGGAAGCCAGGGACTCAGAGGAGGTGGCCGTCCCAAACAGCGTACTCACTGCTATGGCCAGTGTCCTCTTCACAGTCTGATTGCTTCCTTAGGAAACAGGACTGGCAATTCAGTAGGCCTTTCTCATTATCTACTCAAACCCTGTGACTCTCCTATATACTGCAGGAGAGTACTAAGGGAAATCCACCACCAAATCTAGAGTAAAGTCGGAAAGAAGACAAGGACCCAAACGAAGAGTGAGGCTAGAGGCTCCT